CCATTACATTCATTACGTAGACCTGGATCTTGCCAGTCTTGTCCGTCCAGAAGAACCGCAGACACTGTTGATCTTCCAATCGCATAAGGATCTGGTGAAACATTTCCCGTATGTCCCCAGTGACGCCGACCCGGTATTCACGGAATTGCACCAATATTGCAAGGAGTGAACACAGCTGATCGGGACCTGTTAGCAGCGCAGAGTTCAGGGAAACGCCAAATACTTTCGCAGCTCCGTCCCAAACAATCCTTATTTTGCCGGGTTTATTGGGGTTGAAAACTGGGAAGATTGGCAAATACCATACTTTTGGGTAGTGTTTGTTTAACTCTTCATCTGACAGTTGGCGAACATATCCCTTAGCCAGATAATCAGACATCTTCTCATTCAGAGCACTGGCTAGCTCCGGATCCTTCTGCATTCGCTTCTCAAGGCCGTAGTGTCGACGTAATGCCATTTCTTTACTATCTGGCAGACGAACACCATCATAGCGCCATAGTAGTCCTGTCTCATACCGGTTACCTTTGAACTTGGTTAGAGATCGGAGAAGTGAGACGGCTCGTTGATCGTCTGTTGACAGCAGATCTTTGCTCGTTTTCATGATGCCTAGACTGTCCATCGAAAAGTATTCCTGCAATTTGATGTACGTCTTCGTCGGATTGATGGCTGCACTCGCAAGCGTGGAACGTATAGTGGACAAAGTTTGAGGTATTACTAGTATCACATCCCCCGCATATTGTCCAGCCAAGTCTGGTTTTGACGGCTATAGGTTGTTCCAAACTTCCCTCCTTACTTTTCAGCACCAGGCCAACTGAAGCGTGCTTCAAGCCGATGAGGATTTGTGGACGAACGTTCGTATAGGATCCGATCGGCAAATTCCGACAGTGTGGGTACTGTTGCGCAATCTTCTCCATTTTGAGGGACTGGCATGGTAGTAACAACTCTTTCACCGTTCGAACTCCATTAAGTTGGTACTCCTTAGCGTGGTTCTGCGTACCAGTTATTTTCAGATCCACTACGCGAGAGCTCTTCTCGTTGCGCTCAGTACCACCTGTCCAACGAAGGCAGAGCGGGTTTATAGGGCCATTTAGCTTCAGTTGGTCAGCTAGATCTTGGTCCAACAAAGTCACAGCTGAGCCCTCGTCGAGGAAGGCGTAAGTTTGGACAGCTTCACCGTTTCCGTACAGAATAACGGGAAGATAGCGGAACAATACGGCATTTGCAGCGGACTGGTGGGTGTTACATCCATGTGCTGCGCTGGGTCCAGCTTGTGGGGCTGCGGGTGGTGCTGTAGTTGCCGGGTGGCTCGATGCAGGGTGTTGGGATCTATTGTCGTTATGGAGTAGCTCGTGGTGATAGAACGCACAACCATTTGTTCCACATGGCTTCGTGTCACATCTCCCTTCGTGGCGGTGGAGACAGCGGCGGCATAGTCCAAACTCCCTTACAGCAGCCCACTTGGAATCTCGAGAGAGTTGAAGGAAACGTTTACAGATCGATGCAGACTTGCATCTTCCATCACATACGGGGCAGCTATCGACGCCTGGTGTTGTCTTTTTAGAGCTATCACCGTCAGATTTGTCCTTCGAAGATTTCGGAGAGTTCCCTGTATAGCATTCGGAGTGAGTGTGCAGGAAAGTACTGGTCTTCTTTGACGAATTGGTTGCGATTTTCGTTGGACAGCTTGGCTGGTATCGTTAAAACACTCGCAGCCTCGGCGAGCGAGAATATCCATTCACCAAATGTTGCTAGGTTTACGCTTGGAAGTTGTAAGCGATATCGGGCCCATTCCAGCTTCAGGGTAGGTGGTAGCTTGATTACTAACTGGTGGAGGAGGGATACATTATACAAATAGTCATCTAATCCACATGCATCTACGGTTGCACAAAAGTTCTGCACCTTGACCGCAAGATCCACTAATGCCTCCAGCTTATCCTCCTTGATCGTTGGAATTGCGTTTATTTTCACGATCAATGAATGAATGATCGCTTCAGGCTGACCATACAGTACTCTTAACGTGTTCATTACACTTGACACGTTCGTTGGGTGCATCAAGCAGCTTTTAACAGCTTCGTACGCCTTTCCCTTGAGGCATTTCTGCAAGCGGATCATGTTTTCCTCGTTTGAGTATCCACACATAGCGGTGGTTCTCTCAAACGTTGAAAAGAATATCGGCCAATCCTCAGGGTTCCCAGAGAAAGGAGGAAGATCCTTAGATACAGCTTGTCGAGCAGCGAGTTGGCTATGCGAAGGAGGACAAGTATTGTACCAAGTATTTCGTTGAGTTCGATTAACCGAAGCAACGGAAGACGTATGCTGTATTCCCGTGGGGAGGAGATTGGGGGCTACCCTGAAAGAACTTCTAACACCACACAGCGGAGAACTGTTTGGGTTTCTCGGACCTGATCGACTAGTGATCAATTTACGTTGGTCTGCATATGGTTCAGAATGTTCGGGTGCACTGATGTTGTGATCTACCCGATTGTGTCCTACAAGAACTAACCGACGGTTTCCGCCTGCTGGGTTCGGATGAGCGGTGGAGTGTCCATCAGGATTGAATGGTTCTGTTGCACCTCCAGCTACGTTTCCGTCAGCCACCTGGTCGTTTATTTTTTCGACCCACTTTCTCACCGGGCTGCTAGATTCGCTGTGGCTCGAGCTTGTCCGGTCTGTCATTTGCTCTAACAGCTCGTACTTATCCTTCAGATAATCACGGAATTTATCGGCTTGCGGTTCTTCGAAGGCTCGTTCCTCCTCCAACTTCAGTAGCTGCAACTTCAGTCGTGATTGTGATGACACCTTGGAAGATGCTGACCTTTGGATGGATTCCTTCGTCTTCACTGAATGCGCTTCCTCACTGGCAGGTGCTACTACCACCTTTGGAACCATGTTACGTTGCTCCTGCTGGCTGTTTCGATCCACAGAAGATGGTTTGGAGTTTCTCGTCCGTTCTTCGATGACACTAACCTTAGAGCTGACATGTCCTTCTCGATGATTCGATGACGAAGACTGCAGCTGAGTTTCCTTGGCAGTTTGACACTTGTGACAAACCCAGCTCTGGTTTTCGACTTCGTTAGTAGCGCCCACACACGCAAAGTGGCTCCACTTATCACACCCATCGCATTGGACCATATCCGTCGTATCAGGATTGTCGCAGTCCTGACACGTACACCCTTGGTTACAGATCTGATCATTCTTGGACGATTTACCCCGACTACCACGATTACCACGGCCGTGCATGATTCAATTCGCTTGCTTAAACGAAAATTATAAAGTGTTGCGAGAGGCAACAGGTGGGCAGGGATTTCTTCCATAAATTTAATATCAGAACCCAGAATTTAGGAGTTCGTAGAGATATTATAATTTTCCTGTAAATAGGTTACATAGTTTGTTATAAGGTAGTTTGTCTATATCTATAAGTGTGTTCGATATTAATTTTATTGTATGTATGTGGTCGGTATCGGTGTAAGCTTTAGCTGTTAGTGTTTTACTCACGTTTAGTCCCCTTTCTGTAGTTGTTTTATTTTATCTGTTTTTGAGAGTACTGGCTGCAAGCTGTAATATTTGTATTGTTTAGATTTAGAAGAAATTCTTTTATTTATTTCCTTACCGCGATTCCAACTTTGTAGGCTAGTTTTTAGGTTAGACAGTAGCACTATTTAGCAGTAGTACCCTAAAAGCTATTAATTTAGGTTTAGGATAGTTATAGGTTAGATTAAATTTAATTATACTCACTAGATTAGGTAGTAATGTAAGTTCAAATAATAGTAATATTGATTACTTTTAAATCAAACTATTTATAATTTAGTATTAAGCAAAACATTTACACCGCACGGCTTTGTGTACTTTCTTGGCTTTAAAGTCTTTGTTTTCCTCATCTGACACTTACCCCGATCGATGGTAGACCTACCAAATTCTCGTTGTCATTTAGCCGTCACAGGCGATCGCATGCCAGGGTTGCTTTCGCTCGATCAAACGAGTTATATTTGTCGTTGTCCGATGAAAGAAGTACCTGTCCATTTTAATTTTCAAAAACTTATCTAGCATTGGTTGACAATGTTTTTGTGAGACAAAATAACGATCACAACGGCCCTTGCTCTTAACTGATCACCCTAAGTGGCGAACGCACACGTGCTCTCCACAGTCGATCGATCGCCAATTCCCGATTAAAAACTTGAACCCCACAGCCAAAATACACACAAGCAGCAACCAACGGCCAATCGAACTGCCTGCTGGAGCACGTGCTCGCTTTTCGTCATCGTAACTCAAAGATACCATCGATCGCGATATCGACCTCCAGGTGCAAATTTACATTTCCCTGTCCTGTCCTGATGACGAGCCACAGTCCATCATTAGCGACGTTGCTAGCGTGTGTCTCTCTGTGTGTGTGTGTATGTGTAAATGCGCTATCATCCATCAACGAGTTCAGAGTGTTATTATTGTTATTTCGTTGGTAGAAAAGGGAGCGCACTGAAAGCGAAAACATTCAACTAGGGTGGGTGAACCAGTAGTGGACAGTTTATTTATTAAAAAATAAATTAACGATATTCATACCCTAATAAAAAAAAAAAACATATCCGAACGATAACCCAAATGATAGAACTATACCACAAATTGTGTGGATGATACCCTGAACACGTCGTTAAGCAAAACAACCATACATAATATATTAGGATATCATTGGGTACGCAATCTATAGCTGTCAATCTTTATTTTGCGGTAGTTGCTAACTTTGATTTCACTATTATGGGAACCCCGTATAAACCCCGTATCGCAACTATAGGTACACCAACCTTACTGGTACACCTACCCTATATATCCTTCCTTCAGCCCTTGGTCAGCAGCAGGAAGAGAACGGGAAGAGAAATTTCCGATAATAAGTGGCACCACGGAGGATCATCAAAAAAATTTCTTTCGCCCCACCACCATCGGTCAGAACAGAAGCGATCGCGGACGATTCTACCACCTTTTTTGTTTATTAATACATCGGGCATCGGGTTTCTTTATTTTCTATTTCACTAGCTTAGTTGGAGCAATGGGTGCTAATAAATTAAGTTTTCGTATAATTAGAATAATAATAATAAAAATCGACTTTTGTTTAAATAAATAATCCTATGTACAATTGCCGGCTAGGGTGGGTGAGACGGAATTCTTCAATCCATCGAAGGCAGCTGCTGGTGGTGACTCTCGAACCAATCGATCGATTCCAGAAACGTCGGATCGCTGGCCGTTTGCTGCAGTAGGGACTGTTCATCGTCATCTTGAAGTTCACTTTTGATCATCATAATGTCGGCGTATTGCTGCTGATCGATCAGAGAGAGGATCTTTCCGTGTCCCCTACCGTCGTCATCCGGCGCATGGTTCAGGAAGGCGGCTGCTTCGCCTTTGCGATCGTCCAAATCCAGCGCGTAGTTGCTCTGCGGGGAAAGAGCCATGGCCGATTCACTCATCAGGTCGTCCGAGTCTTCCAGGATGACGTCCTGATCGATGACGGAGCTGCTGTCGCCAAAAAACGAACTGTCGTTCGGGGATTCATCGTACAGACTTTCCGGATCCAGATACTGGAAGGTGTTGGTACCGGGAATCCGGATGTACTGGTGACCGTTGATGATGGTGATCTGCGTTTGATCGAGGGAAGCTCCGTTGGAGTTTCCGATGGCACGTGGTTTGATTGCGAGGAAGAAATTGTTGGCCTGCACCGGTTCCGGAGGTGGCGTTGCTGGAAGCTGAGTGCTCTCCTGCTGTGGAGGTTTAATTTTGAACACGCTGCCTTCCTTCTCCGGATCCAGTGACAGGAGCCGTTCGAGGCACTTGATATATTCGACGGCCATGCGAAGCGTTTCTACCTTGCTCAGCTTCTTGTGAACTCCCCGGGTCTGTCCAGCTTCAAAAACTTCTGCAATCTCTTCCGGTATCCGTTGACGCAGGGCGGCAAAGCCATTATTAACCTGTTGAACTCGGTTTCGCTCGCGGGCATTTCGTCGCTCGACGGCACTGATGGCACTCTTTGGATCGGAATTCTTGCGTCTTCCTGGACCTGGGGATGGTACATTGCCCAGATGCTTCTTCAAATCAGCAGATCCCACGTTGAACATCACATTCTCGATGCTACCGAGAGTTCCCAGTGGAATTTTCCTCTTCAGCACTACCGCAGACTGGTTCTCGTCGAAGCTTTCCTCGTTGGACCCGATCGGGATCATCATTTGGTTCTCCTTAAACTTCATCCGCTTCAACGGGTTAAGCGTGGAGATATTCCGCACCGTAATGGTCGTAGTCGACGCCATCTTCAAGCACTAACTATCACAATTTCAAATAATCTCAACTTTTTCCCGGAAGTTGGAGTCCTTCGCTTCACTCAGTTCAGTCCTTCATTTTCACTTGCACTTTACCGTTAGAATTAAACTACCGGTCCTCGAACTAGGAAGCAGCTCAACGGAACAACCTCGGAGTGTGTTCCGTTCTGTGGCTGGTTTTGTTCTGGCGTTCCGTGTCGCGTGCCAAACTGTCTTTAGCCCTCGTCGCAGTTGGGAAAGCCCTGGAAAAACGGACATCTGGTGCTGCTATCTCGCTTCCTCCGCGCGTAGCCCCTGGCAGCACCAACCGTCGTTCGTCCTTCGTTCGTGGAAGCTATTATTAAAGGGAATTATTTTCAATATAATCGGGAATTGAACTTCGAGCAAACAGGAGGGTCCGCCTATGTACTGCCGAGCAACGGTGTGTGTGCGCGAGCGTTCGTCCTTACGGCGTTATATTGCGCAAGGCGATTACATGCAAGCAATTTTGTTCGTCCCTTTTTCCCAATGTGAATGTAACTAACTCTAAGTCGTGTGCATTAACGAACGATGAAAACCAACGAACCGAGGGTCCTTGGCTGCCTGTGAGTTGAATTTCGATTAGGGTGACAAGGGAGAAAACGTTGAGCAAAGGTGAGTTTTTTCCATTCCATCGTGTCGGAACAATGTGATCTAACTTCTCGTTCTCCTTCTGCTCCTCCCGGTCCCAGCGCCCGGTCGGAGTTGATGCCTTTTCTTTCGCAACAAAGATCGCACGGCGGGTCTCGAGAGTAGGTAAGTCGAAGAATGTTACGGTTGTTTACGAATTCTGAGGTTTCTGCTGCTTATGTAGTACGTCCCAATGCGAATTGTTGTGTCTGCTGCAGTGCTGACGGTAGACTTTGTGGCACAACTGACGGGGCGAGGATCCCAGCGAGGAGGGTAGAAGTGCATTTACTTTATTGTGAGAATATGAGCACAGCTGACATGTAACGATTTAGGCTTTGAGGATTGGCAGTGAACTAATTGGAACGATAGTTTGAGAGACAATTTTTTTTATAGCAGCCATTTAAAGGCCTTCGCCTGAGTCGAAATATCGGTTCCTGACGGGATATTTAAATTCCTGACCCGAATGTAAAGCAGCAATAAATCTCAATCCTTGCCTGTGGAATTTACGTTAACGATGGAATATTATGCATAATTATGTGAGGTTTGTAAAATTCATGCACTAAAGCCTTTGAGGGTGAATTTCCCATTCAAAAAGAAGATGGAGAACTTCATCGTATTCAAATGTTCCTTCCTGTTATTCATCGCATAATTATTTTGATGAAATTAAACTGTCTTTTAAATTAGTGTGATTAACTTTTTTTTTCCTTTGGTTTGTTTTTTCCGTCGATCTAGTTTTCCGTGCTGAGCACCAATGCTACCGACGTGCCAGGAAAGCAGCTCTCACACCTGGACCCTATCTATCGACCCATCAACTCATGAACCGGGGACCAACGGCTTTACTTCCCATCCGAAGGAAGGCGTGATCAGAGATGTTATGCCTCAGAACATCCCGGCGGCGCCGACTGGTATTGAACCCAGGCCTGCTGGGGTGAGAGGTAATCACGCTTACCACTACACTTCCACCGCCGTTAGTGTGATTAACTTAAACAGTGACTGTTGCAGAGACTTTTAACCAGTTCCAGCTCAAATAGAATAAAAACTACAAGGGACAGCCCTATGGGGTTGAACGCAATGGTGACGTAGAACAACGTGGTCTTATATAAAAAATGATATTTGTTAACTGCAGCAGGTTGTGTTTTGTGTAGGTATAGGAATTTGAGCGGAGTGCTCTCTGTTTATACTCTTTAGTATTACTTTTTTTTTTTTTTTTTAGTCTTTATTATAGAGATTTTTAGCCTGGGGCTAGTTCATCTCTTATTTTAGTATTACTATGATTGCCCTGAAAATAACCTTTTGATATGACTTTTAGTTGGACAGTTGGGGGCAGCCTTGATAGCTAGCTGCTTGGCAGGAAGCCTTTCGTTGTGTACTGCAGAACACCACCACTCACCACGCGGTGAATGAATAAACACCGTTTGGTGAGACCGGATGGAATTCAACTTGGAAATCTGTGTTAGGGAAATTGCCTTTCGCAGGCAATGGGCGACAATTGTAATTAACATAGCAATAGTTGCACATTCGTCAAATTTTCAATAGTGGCATGTTGAAAAATGATAAAGTCTTGAATTCGAATTGTTCCGTAGAAATATTTATGATCGATTGGTGATAAAATTATTGAAATTGGTCCAGGAAAAGCTGAGTTATTAACGTTCAAAATCTTTCACAATTTCGTTACATGTTCCATTTTCGGTTTTCACAAAGTGTGCTTCCATTTATAAATCACAGACGTAGTCCTACGCAACAAAATAAGACTCGACCTTCTCCGATTTGCATGAAACTTTGCATAATTATGTGTTGTGGGCAATCATTCACATTTTTGCAAAAAAAAAGCACTAAAATGTAGTTTCTGATCGAAATGACGTCTGAGACAAAACTTTGTATAAAAGTAAAATTATTTTGGGAAATTTTTTCATGGATTTTTCTTTTATTTTGAGATAAACAAAGTTTAAAAAACTGCAATTTTCTAAAAAATATATATTTAATATGCATATATATATTTTTTGAAGTTAAGCTCATGCACAGTTTAACCTTAAAAAGCATTGGTTTAGGTGTACATTGTTTTAAATATTTTAAAACTTTGCCTTTATGGTGTGCTATTTAAAAAAAAATTCATAAACCATCTGAGTTATTTGAATGTTTTGTAAACTGTACTTCAAATTACCAAAACAAAAATGTTACCTTTTATATTTTTTCCCAGAAAGATTTTAATTTTCTCTACAACTATGCTTCAGACGTAGTTTCGATTTAACGTAACGTTTTCGTGCTACAATTTATTGAAAAATTACAGAGATGCCATCGAAAATAGCCGTTTGTTATGTTAAAATGTGGATGATTGCCCATAACACACACTTATGCAGAGTTTGATGCAAATCGGAGATGGTCGAGTTTTTCTGATTCCTCATTTGGTGTGGATCTGCTCTTTTTAGTGTGTGCTTTTATGCCACAAGATTCAGTAAACCTCATCTGTTGCACCCAGGGATGCCAAATGTACAGACATTTGAACATGCATACAGACTTCATACAGAGTGCAGACATTATAGACGCATTTCGCGCCAAATCGTATTCGGAGCTGGCAGCACCAAACTACTGAGGCAAAATCTGATAATATGTGAGAGAAAAAAATACACATTTCATATATCATTTATTTATATAGGGGAAATGGATGTAATGTCGGCGTAAATGCCCCTAATTCTGAATACGATTTGGCGAAAAATGCATCATGAGCCCTTTTCATATGAAATTCTCGATTAATCAAAGTGAACTTAAGTGCTGATTAGACAAAATTGAATCACAAATAAAGCTTGATTGGGTTCTGAGATGATTTTGAGCTTCACTGGTTTAGTTTTGTGTGAAAACGGTGTGTAAACAAATCAGTTCAGACATGAAAAAGTTTTTGCAGGAAAAACTTTTTTTCATTAAAATGTCCAATTTCGCGATGTATAGTCTTAATCATAATTACCTATCATGGCCATTTTTTAAACCGGCTTTAATTTTTTTAAATCGATGTTGTTGAGTGTAGGTGTCAAATGGAATTTTGGACAATTTTCTAAAAGTCATCCATACAACAAATTTTTGTAGGAGTTGTCATGTTTCCATAGTTTTTTTTTTGAAAAAAAAAACCGGAAGAGAAAGTTTGGCCCTTCTTAAATGTTAGTCTAGATAACTTTTGGAAAAACTGAGTATGCGAAAGTGCTTATTTGGCCAAAGTAAATATATTCAGAAAATTTCATTGTAATCTGAGAGGGTGTTGCCAGCTTCGATTCGATTTGGCGCGAAATGCGTCTATACAAACATTGATAAAAAGCTAAAGATTTATACAGACATTTATAATTATAAATAGGTTCAATAAACATTTGACTTGCTTAAGCAAATATTTATTGTACAGCAGATATTTGACAAAATTCTTGGTTGATACTACTTCTCAGGTGACACGAGTGTAGCGGTTTCATCGATTTCGCTCTAATTTGCAATTCATATTTGAGGGGGTCAGAAGGAAGGGGGTGTAAGTGTCTTTGATCGATTCTCTTCATCGACTTTGTTAGCCACAGCTTTATAAACAGATTTTGCGCTATTTCTGTCACATAGTTTGATAAAGGAGGTTCTTATCTAGCATCCAGAATGGCACACGAATCAAGGAATGTGTTTGCAGCTGAATTATTAACGAAAGAGAAAGTCGATGAAGAGAATCGATCAAAGTCACTTACACCCCTTTCCTTTTAACCCCCTCATTTGTGTGTGAATTTAACGTGTATTAGATCTACAATTTTAATTATCTGAAGACTCTATTCCAATCCTTTCAAGGACACATTTTCAAATAGACGTAAGCGCTTCCGTTAAAAATGACTTCAATTGTAGTTTTCTCAAGTCTCACGTCTAAAGAAGCATTTTTTAATGGAATCATTGAAAAACTGCTCTGGTTGAATGATGTGACAGTATTTGACGGAATTATCCGAAAATCTCCAATGTATTCAGAATGTTTCTGGAGTTTCAAAAACGTATCTCAACCTCAATGGAGCCTTCTAAGCAACTCTGAAATTGGCAGATCCTATATAATTCATTTATAAGCAATCTTGAAATACTCATTTCAGCTAAACCAATGTTTTTTTATAATTATAAAATAATTAGATGCCATGATCATATTTTGAATTGGTAGGATACAAGAAGAGGTTGCAAAGAATGTGTTTGACATATTAAACCTGTTTATTTCACTTCTAGAGAGTCACAATCAGCGATTTTTCACACACTCACGCGTTTCGAAACAACGGTGATTTCTGCCCACTGCACTGCTTTACAGTTAGTGACCAACATCACTTCTGTTTTGTGGTGGGCTATCTGCAGCTTCGCTCCTTGCATCCAGTTACCAATCGTATCTATCGCCTCGGCCGCCAGCATTTCCACTTCTTCCAGCGTCTCACCGGTTACCGTCAAGACGACATCGTCCGCAAAGCCAACGATCTCAACTCCTTTGGGCAGCTTGAGCGTCAGCTCGCCATTGTACATTCCGTTCCACAGCGTGGGACCTAGAATG